AGGTCAAGGGCAGACCTAGCCTTCTACCTCCAATGTGGATATGGCTGGTAGAGGTTAGAAAATAAAACACCATTACTTTGATGCTAAAAGCATTCTTATACATTGAGAAAGGTTAATTTATTTGAATTCTTGATGTGTCTATTCTAAAAGGGAACTGGAAGAGAAACCATTTTAGTGTATGTGGTTTGACCTGAGGAAGAGAATAACACTCCTCTCATTCTTAGGAAATTCCTGTGCAAGATTATGATTATTGACTTGCTTAGGAAGTAACTTGTTGAGGATAGTTAAAACTTTCACTTTTAACCAGTGAATCTGTTTTTATTCATCTTTTGTTTAAAATCTCTGAATTAATAGAAATTATTCTTCCACCTAATAAAGTAGTGTATATAGCAATAGTGGCTATTAAAACTCTTGGTGGTGATGAAAATGATCTGTATCTGTGCTGTCCAAAATGGTAACCACCAACCTGATGTGGCTGTTTAGCAATTAAAATGTGTCAACTGAAAAATTAATTTTAAATTTAAATATAAATAACTTAAATTGAAATATCCACATTGGGCAGTTCAAGTATAGAGTGTATCTACCAGTTAATATTCATCTTGGTTTGAAATATTCCATTGCATTTTCATCCTACATATCTAAATTCTGATTTGGAAAATGTGGCAACTATTATGGTGTTTGATAATTGTAAATTACTTCTAGATAATTTGTTTGAATCTCCAATCTTCATTGCATGTTTTCAAGATAGGTGTTTATGGAACTACAGCCCAGAAATTAGCTTATTAGCTTATTCCTTTGCCTTTTCTAATAAATGATCTGTGAAAATTTTTGGTTAATTAGATTTATTATTTATTGAAGTTCAGCTCCTCAGTATTATTGAGACCCAATATCATTAAGCACAGTAGGAAAATATACATTATATCCAGTGGAAAGCCCAAAAGTAGAATTCATGAGTTTTAGGTCAGCAAAAGTTCAGGCATTTATGGAAGTCAAAAGAGAACCCATTTCATATGAAAAGTTACTGCAGGTCCTCAACTTTTAAAGGTTTACCACATAGACATTGTATTTTGCCTGTGACCTCCCTGCTCTTTGAATCCAACCTCCAACAGAATTTTAGTAGTATGGCATTAACCTTGTGCATGTGGAGTAGAAATGATATTTCATTTATTAATGGAATTTAAATCCATGCCTAATGTTTTAAGGGATAAAGATCAGAATTCTACCCACCTGCTGCCTTATTATATTCTGGTACCACTTCAAAATTGGTAAGAACCTTAAGTGAAAAAGTCATTAGAATGCATTTGACTTAATTTAGTTTCATCTAACATGTAAACTCACTAATGCTGTATGAAATATAGACCTACTAATGTAGTCCTGTTATATTGATAGCCTGAGTTCTACAAAAGAAAGAAGGTAAGCATTTGTTTGGTGTTCCTGTGTGTCAGGCACTGTGTTACATCTATTACACCCATTTTTCTTGTTTTCTTGCATGTTCTGAAGCAAGTAACATCACCCTTGCTTTTATGGATGAGGTCATGAAGAGTTACACAGTTAATTAATTTGACCAAGTTTCCAAAAGTAGAAATTCCGTTTAATTCCAAAGTTCTTGCTCTTCACTGGAAAAGCAAGACATATAACTGTAGATGATCCCCAGGTTGGTTAATTCAAGAACACAATGATATCATTAAAAACACAGGGACATTTCATCTTTCCACTATCCCCTCCTAGTCTCAAAATGGCAGACACAACTCTGGACATCACATCCTTAAGCAAATAGATCCAAAGATGGTACAACACTTTCTTCTAGCACATATCTATATGTTTGTTTTTAATCAGAGGGAAATGTTTTCCCCAGAAGTTTCTCATCTCTCAGGAAACTTGCTTTTTTTCCTCATTTAGTGGTCAGGGCATACCATAACCCATCCCTAAACCATTCACTGGCAAGGGGAATACAACTATGTATGATAATTGGTGCCATAGTTGGTATGGAGGAATGGACATTTGATCCCTGGGACAATAGATTGGGTCATCATTCCAGAGGTGGAGGAAGGTCAAATGGTGGGATTCATTTCAGCTCATCCAACAAGGAAGAAGTGGTGAGGAACACTGATAGACACCTAGCTAGTGATGGCTGTCATATTTGCTTGAAAATTTTAAATGTATATTTGTTATAGAATTAATACCATTTGGCCTTCTCTTCTCATTGTTGGTGAGCTCTCTCTTTGGTAGATTCTCAATTCTGTAATCATGGGGACTTCCTGTTTTCACCAGTACAAGGTAGAGTCTCTTGTCCTAGAGCATACTTGATTAATATTTACTCAATTGATTAAAGTTGGCCCATGACAATTAATTAAAATTTTTCTTACATTTTCACTGAATCTAATTTATTTAATATCAACTTTTTCCTTTTAATATCAACACCCTCCCAGTAAAGTTATATTTATTCATTCCAGAAAATGATTAATGAGCCTTAATCATAAAGGTACTGGAATAAAGTTGCTGTGAGTGCTGTGTAATATAAACCCTGTGAATACTGTTTACAATTTTGTGTGGGTGTAGGAGGAAAAAAGAGTCAAATATAAATAAGAGTGGGAAAGAAAACTTGTTTTGAGTCCATTTTATACATCTGTTAATGTTTTGAAGAATCTGCAGTAGAATCTATCATCTTAAAGATTATGAAGTGAAAGAAATGATCTGTATATAAAATCACTGAGATTCTTAAAGCTCCATTATTAAATTTTTCTTATGCAGACTAATTACTTTAATAATTTTAAATTTATTGTGCTATTGTACATGCCACTAGTTTCATTAAAAATATGTTCCTATAAAATAAGATCAAAAGACCAGATTTTGATTATGCTAATGTGGTGTGAAGTATGAAGCCAGTGTTCCAAGTCTCAATTTGTTTTATAATATAGACCCTTTTTTGAGTTTATCTTTTCTAATTAAATATTTTTTTTCTAAACTTCCCTTCATTGCATCAGGTTCAGTTACTGTATGTGTTCATAATTTTTTCACTTGATCAGCTCTTATTGCTGACATATAAACTTCCATGTTTTAAAAAAAAATTGAGATAGTAGAGTTTTGCTAAAAAGAGGTAGTCTTTATTTGCCTGCCAAATGGTCAATTCATTGGGATAAGCAAACAGTTCCTACCTTGTTCAAGAATATTTATTTATAGTATTTTCTCTCAGGTGACATGAAAATTCAATTCAACACAAAAACATGAATGATTTTTAAAACATTTTATTGTCCACTAATGATACTTATTTTTAGTTACAGTATTTGCTAAGTGATTGTAGGCACAAATCATTGAGTTCTTGTCATTTCTAAAAGCAACTGAAGAATCTAATTCACTTCTGTGATTTTCTGATCTTTTTAATCCTGGGAAAAAATACCAAAAGGAACAATTAAATAATTTACTAACATTTCTAGTGAGTCTTATTTGCAATAACATGTATGTTTTAAATTTTGTTCAAAAAATGTACAACCATTGAGTTAACTATAATTTCCTAAGTTTCTTTCTTATCTAATTGTCATTAGATATTAGGTCCCTAACTTCACAACACTTAAAGCCTATAAATAACAATTGCTACAATTCATCAAGTACTTCCTGCCTGCCAGGCTTTGAGCACATCACTTTAGTTCATTTCCATAAAATAACTCTAAAAATCTATCATATTTATACTAATTCTAAACAGGAAGAAACTGAATTTTAAAGATTTTGAACTCCCTGCCAAAATCACCTTTCTGTAAATAGCTTTAGCAAGGCATGAGCTCATAATAAAGTCAATGATGTTAATTATTAATAAAGAGATAAATGTATTTCTTATTTTTAAAATATTTTGTTTTAGTTGTAGTTGGACACCATACCTTTATTTTATTTTTATGTGGTTCTAGGGATAAAACCCAGCACCCCACACATGTGCTAGACAAGCGTTCTACCACTGAGCCACAACCTCAGCCCTGATAAAAGTATTTTCTATGCAAACCAATAATATATTTTAATTAATGGTAGGCACCAGATTGTTCAATTCTGGTTAATTTTCAAAAATTTTTCCTATTCTTCTCCATAAATATCCTCACACCTGTGAAGCCATGTATGACATATTATAATTGTTTATTAGGAAACTATGGCATTTATATTTGAAAAGATATTTTTAAATTATCTTCTTTCATTTCTTCCTCCAATTTTAAAGAAGGGAAAACACCCATAAACCTGAAATAATTTGTAAAATACCACCTCATCTCTGAGGGCAAAACCAGAAATGGAGCCCAGGTGCCCTGGCTCCCCATCCAGGTCATTTCCACCTCACTCCTTTTGCTTCTCAGTAGCAAACCATCAATTGCATTTATAAATTAGAGTCATATTTGGGTACATATACATGACAGAATCACATAATCTCATAGGGTTTATAGATATGATAAGGATTGTTATAATGACTATCCCCATTTGTTTGAAAGAGCTTCAATGGAAGAACATTTAGTGCTAAACTGACAACTTCTTTCTAAAAGCTTAATCTGTAGCGTTTCAGCTCTAATAAAAGAATATAATTGTGTATTTTAGCCTCACTCAAGTTAGATGTCTACTTTAGACAGGTAATCTTCCTTTAGGTCTTTAAAGAGAGCTCCTATTGACCTTTTGTACCTTGTTCAAATATTGGTACCTTCTGACTCCCCAAAATTATTCCTTTTTTATAATTTAGCCTATTCTAGGTAGTCAAACCTTTGAAATATAAAAACTGATATTTTTTATTGTTATTCTCAAAAGTAAAGGGTTTCAGTACTATATATTCTGGTAAGAATTAAATAATTTCAGAATTTAAACCCACCATAAAAGATATGATCTTAGTTACCTAGTCATCTATATATAAACTGATTTATAATATAAAGTTACAAAACATGCTTGTTACTACAGCTTTACATCCGGAGTTGTCTGAGAATTTAAAACTGCACAATTCTGTTGTGCCATTTTCCCCCAGGATTTGTCTCTTAGCGGCTTCAGTGTATACTCACCACTTCTTCCCGCTTGGTCTTGTCTGTTGCTGGCCAAGCTTCCAGAGGCAAATCAGGAAGAAGGGGGGGCAGCTGCATGGGGAACATCGGAGGCAGATGTGGCTGTGGTGGCAGGGGATGCAGGGAGTGCAGAGGTGGTTGGGGCTGGACAGGCTGCATGGGCTGCATGGGCTGCATGGGCTGCATGGGCTGCATGGGCTGGTGAGACTGTGGCTGAATGGACTGGGGCTGGAAGGGCTGCTGGAAGGGCTGCTGGGCAGGTGGAGGGAGGTTTGGCTGGTGGTGTTGGTTTGGAGTCATGGAGTGGTGGCCAGGAACGGGCATCATTGGCTGCTGGGGGGCCACGGGCTGTTGAGCTGGCACCACTGGGATGTGGTGATGAGGCTGAAGGGTGTGACTCGGGGTATGCTGTTGAGACAGCACAGGGATGATTTGGTGGTGCAGCCATCCACCCATGGGTTCGTAACCATAGGAAGGATACTGGTGAGAAACAGAGAGTCAGGTTTACCATTGGCTCAGTTGACTTCCAACTGGAGAAGTAGCAATGATTTCTTTGTCATTATGACCATATGAATATTTTAGTCATTTTTTCCTTTGCAAGAATTTTCAACTATGTACACAGATATGACCTTTTACAAACTAAAATTCTCATTAGTGTCTGTATGTGGAGTAGACATGATATTTTGCTTAATAATGGAATTTAAATGCATACCTAAATATTTTAAGGGAATAAAGAACAAAATATCTACATACCGGCTGCCTTATCATGTTCTGGTACCACTTGAAAGGGGTAATCACCTTAAAAGAAAGAGATATTAGAATACATTTGATTTAATTTAGCTTCATCCAACATGTAAACTCACTAATGCAGTATGAAATATAGACTCACTAATGCAGTCCTGTCAGTATTGATAGCCTTAGAATGTGATTTCTACAAAAGAAAGAAGAAGGTAAACATTTGTCTGGTGCTTTCTATGTGTCAGGCACTGTGTTACATGCATCTCACACATTTTTCATGTTTTCTCACATGTTTTGAGGCAAGTATCATCACACTCATTTTTGTGGACAAGATCATGAATCCTTAAAGATGTTCATTAGCTTGACTGCATTTGCAAAAGTAGTAACTGTGTTTAATTCTACAGCAAGAGAATAACAAGCAAAAAAATTATGACATTATAATGTGATATAGCATTAATTTAATTATTTTTATTTGATGACACAGTGGAATTAAAGGAGGTGGAAACACTGTTATTCTTGAGACACATGTTTACTGGTCAAATATGTCAATCACTTAAGGTTTATCAGAAAACCTTGCCTCAAATTCTTACTAACATTTTTCTTCAGCTTGTATGTGTAAACAGACTCATAGATTGTAACCTCAACCTATGAGACAAGTAAGAGTTTCATCCCTTTCTGAAAAGTATATACTTAGCTAAACTCAGATTTAGGGCTCCTTCATTTAATAGTATGGAATTTAATTGGTAAAATTTAAAATTACTATTTTTTGTTTTATTCTAATTAGTTATTAATCTTTGTCAAGTTACATGTGATATAGCGCTTTTCATATCCACTAACTAATCTCTCCTCCAAACAGTATTTTGAAGTGTGGTTATCATTATTTCTAATCTGCAGATGAGTAAAACATTTTCAGAGAGAAAATGATTTACCAAAGATTATGGACTTAGTATGGGCTTGGGAATAAACCTAACCCAATTTCTAGAACTCTTATGCTTCCATTACTCTGCAGAGTCTCTCATGTAGATATCACTAAGTCACTTATCTTTCAGTAAAGCCAATGAGATACACACATAATGTGTGAACCTCTTAGAATCATGAATTTTTTTGAGCTAGAAGGGATCTTAAATAACATCTTACCCAATCCCCACATTTTATGAGATGGGATAAAACAAGGATGTTTAAGCAGAGTTCACTTTCTTTCCTATTATGGAGCCTCCCTAAGTGGTAGTTCATGGTGGATAAAATTATTGCCATATTTAAGAGGAGATACTGAGTCTGAGTGGCCAAATGGGAGGGTGCTGAGACAATGCAGGCTTAAGGCCATCTGCCAGGGCTTAAACTGGGAAGCTAGTAGAGGGAACTGAAAAAGTGGGACCATTTGAGAAACATTTTGAAGAATCAACACACTAGTCTTTATTGAGCTCAGCACATTTGTAACTCAAACAGTGGTCAAAATTAGTAAATAGAAAAATTACCTCATAGCTGAAGTTGATATAACCAGGGTGCCCAGGATGAGGTGGTAGCTTTTATAGGAAGGGGAAAGGAGAATAGAAAGAGAGAAAGAGAGGAAGAGAGAAAGAGAGAGAGAGAGAGAAAGAGAGCGGGGGAGGAGAGAGGGAGAGAGAGAGGAAAAGAGGAGAAAGGAACAGATTAAGTCAATATTGTTCACATTAAGGGAGACTGAAGATACTTTTTAAAAAATATCTATATAGTGCAGAATATATTTGAGATCTACTTTTACTTCAAACATGTATACTGTGTAGGAGGAGTCTTCTTGTTTTAAAGAGATCCAAAACAACTAAATAACTTTCTCCAGGGCTATAGTCTTATAGTGGGAGACCTGGAAATAGAAGCCAGCATACATTTATTCTCCAGTGATCAGACAAGCCCATCCACCCCATGTTGTCAAGGAATCCTATCCTATCCCACCCACCAATTTACTTTTTGAGGAAACACTCCTTGTTGGGGAGAGGTATGTTTTGTAACACAATTTAAAAATACCAAGGTGAAAAGAATGGCCTCACAAAAGGTTGCTTATATATCAGGTTATTAAGTGCTTAAGTATCAGAAGGATTCCTCATACTTAGCAGGCAAAATAAATAAATAACACATACACCCTAACAAAAGGAACAACTAAGTGGGAATTTTTAATGAATGTGAGAACAAGATGGCTGCAATAAAATAGAAATATCCTGAATCCCTCCCCTGGATAATGAAAGCCTTGATTTATGATGTTTAGGCCAATCCTTTTTATTATTCTATCAATGGATTTATGGCAGAAATTTGAATGTGCAAATTAATGAGCAACCTGAATAATTATCTAAACCAGGACTGTCTGTTCTTTCTGAAGTGAGAGTCAAGTCACTTATGTCTGCCTCATGGCATTGTGGATGGCCCTGGTGTACAGAAGAGAGGAGAGAGCATGATGAAGAAACTCTCTCAGACCTGGGGCTAATTAAGAGTTGACTATTCTATTTTTTTAAATGCTTGTATTTTATAAGAGGAGTTATTCACTCTCATTGTGAGTATAGTTAATTTAGTCAGGTAACTGCATTTCCTATACTGTCTTGATATAAGCCCTCTAGGAGTGCAGGTGTTGAATCATGGGGTGGAAAGGGGGCTGAATTTGTAAGGCAGGGGTCCCTCAAGGGGCTAGGAATTGCCACAATGCAGGATTTCAGGAAGGCAGAGCACAGAATCTTGGTCTAATGGGTAAGAAAGGAAGAGAGGAGGCAGGTTATGCAAGCTTACTGGCTTCTGGTTGTATCAACTGCTCTTTATGCCACCAAAAGGCATTGCCTTTATGTGACCTAAGCTCTCTGCCCTTAAGTACCTGTGTCTACAGAGTGGATCAGATTTCCTAGTCTTTGGTTCATTAGAATGTAAAACATACCAATATATTTTGGGCATAGGTAGTACAACAAAGCCAAACCACCTACTTAGCAGATGTGCCCAAAAGGGTGAGGCTTCTGAGAACAGGGAAATGGTTCAAAGACAGGAATTCCTAACACAGAAATTTTACCCATTCCGGGGTAACAGCAGTGGTATTTGGAGGGCAAGAAGAGATTGGAAAACTTGTGAGAAATTGGTTTTAGAGAGTTTTGTATTATTTTCCTAAGGATGATGAAATATTTTCTCTGGAAACCTTTCAAGGGTCCCTTCACAAGATTCCTCCACGTAGAGATGGACAGTGATATTTACAAGTCGTTTCAACAGAACCTCTTGGGAGTAATTCTTAAAATGCAGCATCCTGGGCCCCACCCCAGCTGTACTGAATCAGAACCTTTGGTGGAGGTGTTTGGTAATATACTTAAAAAGAAAACAACTCCTTAAGGTTTTATTCAACACAGAGACATTTAAGTATGTATGTTCTTATACTGTTTTAAACCCTGAAATTTACCAACTATGAGAAAAATTTTTATTTCTAAGCTTATTCAAGGGGTATTTTACTCACAGGCATAGCGAAGGCTGCTCCCAGGAGGCAGGCAAACAAAATCCAAGTCCCCATTTCTTGATGGTTCTGAAATGTTAACAACATCTTTTCTTAACTCTTCTCCAATGTGAACATAATTAATGTTCCATAAAACATACATAATCTACATTAATATGTTGATAATAAGAAGGATGGGGCAATTTTTGTGAGGTGACTTCATTCATATGCAATTTCAAGTTATCAGTCCATATTATTTTCTGCAGTCACAATAGTTATAAAAATATACTTTAAAATGAGGCTGAGAGCTTAACAAGTTATATGTTATAAATATTCTAAAAGATTGGTCAGTTGTCAAAGTGCACAATGTTTTATACTTTTAGAACAAGAAGCCACAGAAATATTTTTGTACAGTTTACCTGGGCATTGCTACTGTTAAAAACAAAGACTAATTACTTGAGAAGCTATTAAGTAACTTTCCAAAATAGATTAAGAAGGGAGTGAGATGTTCCAAATGTTCCCATCTATAGAACTTCAGGCAAGTTCAACTTCAGTGAAGTTCAACACCTTTGAATTTCAGAGATGGAGTTAAAGATGTGATTGTACAAAAAAGAGAAGATAGCACTACTATTCTGAGATTCTTTACTGAATTTTGAATGATTTTTGCCTAAAAGATTCCATCTTCAGTCAATAATATCTTTTTGTTTGACACTGCACTGTCAGGCTATCCTCAAATATTCACATTGTTTTGTCACACAAATTATTGACAGGCTTGGAAAATTGTCAGAAGAAAAATCTTGATGTTTATGTGGAAAGAACATAACACATGTAATAATGCTGACTATGAAAAGTATGCTGAAGTTTTCTACCTCCTAAATCTGTTTTTAATATTTGAGTTAATATGAAAAAAACATTCTGTTGATGATTCCACTTTATAAAAATTAAATAAAATGTTTTTTGAAGAAGTGGATCACAGCCTGAGAGAACATTATTTTTATTTTAATTGATAAGCAATTAAAATAAACATTTTGTTGAAAAATATGTACTCAAAAAGAACTTTGGGATTCTGGAATTTAAAATTTAATAAATATATACAAACACTTTACTGCATTATAAAGCAAAATGATTCATCTAAATAAATCAGGGCCTAATTTAATTATGGTCCAACTGAAGAAGTAACTAACTATTGATGGCATAAAGTATTAGAAATGTAGAATATATTTGCATTGAAACATAAAATTCAGAAAAAGGCACAATAAAATATATCAAATTATGAATAAAATCCACATACCTTTGAATGTATTCTGGTAAGTTTCTGTCTGAAACTCAGGGATGCTTGATCCTTTAGATTTCTTCCAACTACAAGTCCAATATATATCATTCATGGCATCTAGAACAACCAATCAGGCTTCTGAATGAAAAAAGTGTTGAGTATAACTAAAAATCCCCATATCATGAATTTTTAGAAGCTGTGATCAACATTAAGGCTGTATGTTGTGATTAGTGCATGTAGAGTCTTTCATTACAGGCAATAATAGGTTTAGAAGGGGAAAAGTTTCATCAGGTTGTTTTGAAGTCAGCAAATTAGTTGACAGCACATGCTGATATATTCAAATTTAGTTTTAAGAAGTATTATACCATTGTCTATTTTGCCATTCTAGCAAACAACATTATTCTTTAAAAAAAAAAAAAGGTAGATGGTTGAGTTTCCCTAGTGTAATCACAATGGCCACAAGGGTTGTCCAGCCTTTTCAGATCAGGATACATTGATTCAAACCCCCATTCTGGTAAAAACCCAAAACTCTCCCCTGTATGTCTCTGAGGGATCATAATTTCATGATCATCAGTGCTCTACTGCTGTCCTTTAAGATATTTTCATTGTTCCCTGTGGCTACTCCTTTATCACCACTCTAAAGTGTACCAAAACAGGGAACAAAGTCTCTTCTTCTGGGCCCATCATGAAACCTATTTGCTATCCAAGCAATCATGACCTCAAGGTTATTACTGTAGCAAAACTTATACTAACAGAAAGTACAAAGAAAGAGACATAGTATATGCCAGACAGCACACTTAAAATGTATTTCAATGCTTACAAAAATATATCACAGGGAATATTTTCCTTTCTCCCCTACTCCAAAAAGAAACTTGATCTCTCTTTGTATGGCATCCTACCTTTGCCCACACCAGTTCCACTTTCTTTTTTTTTTTAATTTTTATTGTTGGTTGTTCAAAACATTACATAGTTCTTGACATATCATATTTCACACATTTGATTCAAGTGGGTTATGAACTCCCATTTTTACCCCGTATACAGATTGCAGAATCACATCGGTTACACATCCACTGTTTTACATATTGCCATACTAGTGTCTGTTGTATTCTGCTGCCTTTCCTATCCTCTACTATCCCTCCTCCTCTCCCTTCCCATCTTCTCTCTCTACTCCATCTACTGTAATTCATTTCTCTCTCTTGTTTTTTTTCCCTTTCCCCTCACTTCCTCTTGTATGTAATTTTGTATAACAATGAGGGTCTCCCAGTTCCACTTTCTCATGTTGGCAAACGACAATAACAAAGGCTGGCTAGGATGTCCCATTGTTGGAGGAAATGAGAATGTAACTTCCCAATGTTCAGCTGAAAAACTAAAAAGAAATCTACAATATGACCCAGAAATCCTACGTCCAGGTATATTTCCAAAAGAAATGAAATCAGCATACCAAAGAGATACCTACCCATGACAATATTTACTGAGGCACTATTTATAAGAACCTTATAAAATCAGACTTGTTACCCATTGATGGGTGAGTAGATAAAGAAAATGTGGTACTCGTACACAATGGAATATTATTCAGTCACAAAGAATAAAATCCTGTCATTTGCAGCAAAATGTATGGAAATACAGGATATGATGTTAAGGTAAATAAGCCAGACAAAGACAGAAAATGCTGCCTGTTCTCTCTCCAATGTGGAAACTGAAACAGTTGGTCTGAATGTAACATAGTGATTAGAATCTAGGAAAGGTGGGGAGAGGAGGAATAAGGGAAGATGGGATACCAAATACCAAAGCACAATTAAATAGAAAATTAAGTTCTTATGTTTCACAGAACAGGGGGATGGCTGTAGTTAACATTAATCTATTTTATGAAAATCTGAATGAGAGGAGCACGAAGCCTCCAAGCATGAAGAAGTGATAAGGAGATGGAAATGCTAATTACCTGGACTTGATTAGTGTATGTTGTATTCATGTGTTAAAACATTACACTTTACCCCCAAATATATACAATTCATGCATGATAATAAAATATAATTAATCACACCCATTATGTATAATTATAATATGCCAATAAAAATATAGAGAAAAGAAAATAATAAAATATAAAAATTACTGAAGTTTTGAAGAAAATACAAAGTTTTAATTGATATTTTTCTGTAAGCAAGTATTTCATTTATGTATAAGCTGACTTTATAAAAGACAACAGATTCACTAGATCAACTACTTATTTTGTTACATGAAGGCTATAACATTTTCAGAGAACTTGTGTTTTTATTTCTCTTGCTTTTTGAAGCTAAATATTTCTTTTCTTTGTTAAAAATGAAACTTAAGCATAAAATATTTTCTTCTATGGCAATGTCTCTGAGGCAAATACAATCAAATGGTCCCAGAATGTGTCTTTATTTACTTGTGCATTCTTTTGGTGTGTGTGTGTGTGTGTGTGTGTGTGTGTGTGTGTGTGTTGAACACCTATGAATTTCAGACTGTTGGTATTACAATAGGGAACAAATGATATGTGAATTTCTTACTGTTCCTAAAAGCTCTTCTCCAAAATGATAAGTGTATAAACACCCTTGTGAATTATAATTGAGTTCTTTTGCCATTTTTTGTAATTGTTATTCTTTTTCTCGGATGCAGCACATCACATTTTGCTATACCCAGGATGCTTATGCTTGCAACTTTTCCCCTTCTAATTTACAGTGTGCTGAAAACCTACATGCCCAAGCTTGTTAGAAGCATGTGTTCAGTACAAATAAAGGAATGTTGTAGGTGAGCAGAGCCTGCTCACGTGGCTCACCTGTGAGAAAAGTGCAAGAATTTCACTTTAATGCCATTGAATTTTACTTCTTGGATCTTACCAGCATTTGAAGTATATCTTTGGAGAAGTCCACTATTATGAGATCTACAAGTCTTTCTTGTCATCTGTAGGAGCTCACCTCTTGAGTCTTCTATTAGGGCAGGCCCAGGATTGTCCAATATTGACCAATATTCTGGAATAATTTAAAGAATAGGTATTCTTATGTAACTGGAGTCAAAATTGGCTTTTAAATGTTTCTGCAGATATTCAAAACATGTCATTCTCTTGGATTCTTTTTTAATTGAGATGATGTGGGAATTGTGCCATCTTCAGAACTTAGGTACTTTGCCACTAATTGATTCTGATAAAATTTCAGACTTTGGCCATATTGCAACCCTTGGAAGTTATGAATTGTGTCTTATACCTCCTTGGGAGCTCTTTTGCACCTGGAAAAAAATCTCTCATACAAAGTAATCTCTGGACAATTAATTGGTTAAAATGCACAAAAGTTATCCATGACATATAGAAAATGTTCTTAGTTGATGTGAAGTCTTCATAGACAGAGAAATAATGTAGTGATATATATATGGGTCATTGAATAGCTGAGATAAAAAAGAATGGTCTCCCTTCTATAAAATCCTTTCTCCCACCCTCCCTCTTCTATCAATTTGAGCAGATATTCACCAAAATATTAACCATAGTTATCTAAGACACTCATTCCTGAAAGTCTCTGGGTAACTCAGATTTTATTTTATTTTTTAAACAATCTTTGAATACAATAAATTCAGGGAAAGTGCAAGAAATTTGGGTTATAATATTCTCTCATTCATGTTCAGCAAGAGTGAGGAGGGGTAATGCTAGATATTCCATAGACCTCGGGTTTACTTAATATACTTTCTTAAGATTTAGACAATACATGTCTAAATTTTAGGGAAAATAAAAGTCAAATATAAAATCCAAGACAAAAAGCACAATATTTTTTTAAAGTGAGAAAGCCCTTTTGGATTGCAAGTAGGTAATATCTTAATAATATAAACATTCACAGGAAGAATTCATACAACTTGTAATTTGAAAGGTCTGTAGGCATTTGCTAACTATCTGGTGTAGCAACTTTCAATAAGGGAAATTATATGCACATGGATAGTGTGTTGTTTGAGTTATAATTAACTGGCAACTGTCGGGAGTGAAAATGTTACATCCATGTTAATAGAGGCAGCACAGTAATGTAAAAACCAGCATTTTTCCTGTTTATTTAACAAAATAAACCAGAGTAAATTGCACTTTCCTACTGGGGTTCAACAGACACATAAACAGATCAGTACTTTCTAAATAAAAACAACATGATATGGTGGAAAGAACTTGGTCTTTGGCAGAGGACAGCCTGGGGCAGAAGTGTGGTTGGGACATTGACCCATGATGACTTTAGCTTAGCTACTTGACTCCTTTATATAGTTACCATAATGCCTGAAAACTGGGAAAGTATCAATAGTAGACTGCTACTGATGTTATTCAGTATGAATTTTGATTCTTAAATATGATCCAATATTAAAAGTGATGATTTATTAATTTCTGGAGGAGGAGAAAAACAAAATTCAAGAAAAGAAGGAAATAACTCATCAGTCAAAAGGTTGAAAATTATTACAATCATGATTTGATATATAAGGTTTTCTTTTCTTCTTTTGTTCTTGGACAGAAAAATCTTATTATCTGCTTTAATAACATATATTTATCTTTCATGGAGCTGCCTACACAAATGTAAAATGTCAGAATACTATTTTCCTATGATCTTCAATACTACAGGGAAAAAGAAATCCACAATAGGACCTCAGTGCCAGCAGTGTCACCAGTTCTTACTGTGTTGTCATTCCTGCTGCCCATTCTGCTATTATTTCTGCTAATGGCCTCTCTATCATGGACAGAGCACCAAATAGATTTCCAGCTGGTAGCTTCTTCAACACGTCCTTGAACTATATAAAATTCAGTGATAGAAGTTAAGAATATTTCCAAATTTCTATTTTAAAAAAATCACATCATGGGGCTGGGGATGTGGCTCAAGCGGTAGCGCGCTCGCCTGGCATGCGTGCGGCCCGGGTTCGATCCTCAGCACCACATACCAACAAAGATGTTGTGTCCGCCGAAAATTTAAAAAAATAAACATTAAAAAATTCTCTCTCTCTCTCTCTCTCTCTCTCTCTCTCTCTTTAAAAAAAAAATCACATCATGATAAATGTATTGTCTAAATCTTAAACTAATATACTGAGAAATGAAATAAACCAGGCATAAGACAAGAAGATAACTTAGTTCTAGTCTAGTGAGTATTTATAATACCCAAGTCTAGGACACACATAGATACCACAATATTTATATGGATATTACTCAGCCATAAAAAGGGATGGATTATTGATGTGTGGGAAAACCTTGAAAACATTGCTCT